TGGATGCCCCATCCCTGGAAACATTCCAGGTCAGGTTGGATGGGGCTCTGAGCAACCTGGTGTAGTTGAAGATGTCCCTGCCCATGGCGGGGGGGGGTTGGACTATAATGATGATCTAAGATGATCTTTAGAGGTCCCTTCCAACCCAAACTATTCTATGATTCTAAAACAAGACACAAAATGGAGCATATGAACAAAACCTAATTCTGAGTGTGGAAACTCTTCAGACAATTATATTTCGGCACCTGGAGAAGCTCACTGAGCAAAAAATGAGCAGCTTTTATGTGTGCTGTCACAACACAGTTTGCTAAGTCACTGACAGACTTTCTTACATAGATAATAGTCCCGTAGGGATACACTGCCCTAAAGAGTAACTTCAGGAGGTTTGTCACAGTGATATATTTACTTCCAAACATGTACAGCACTCACCTTCCCTCCATCAGCATTATACTCCTTCTCATCCCCTTCCAAAAGTCTGGCCAAGCCGAAGTCAGTGATCTTCACATGGTTTGGTGATTTTACCAAGACATTACGGGCTGCCAAGTCCCGGTGGACAAGTCTCCTCTCTTCTAAGTACATCATTCCCTGAAGGACAAAGAACAGTAAAATAATCTTAATGAGTCTTACATGATTTTTTAGAACTACTTTTCACTGGTGACATGTAAAATTTCTGGTACTCTTATTAGTATTCACAATAAGAACATGGCCTAGAGGGCAGAAGTTCAACACTGCCCTTGCTCTAAGCAGAAGGTGGGATTAGATGACCTTAGGTTCCTTCCAATGTGAACGATTCTATAAGATTGTATGGTAACTGCCAAAGGAAAAAAAAAACAACAAAAAACCACACAGATATCTCCTTTACTCCAGCAAGTTTAAAATCTGGAAATGTGAGACAAATAAAAGAAATAGTATGGCCCTTATTTTTCAGACGGGAAATCTGAAGACTGTAAAAAATAATCAACCTAGCCAGAGCCCCACAGAAATTAGGCCAGACTGGGAAACAATCCCAGCTCTTCTATGTTCCAGGCAAGTGTCTTCAATTCAAGATGAAGCTTCTTATCCATCTCCAAATGCTTTTAATTGGACACAAATTTTCACTACCCTCAGTGGATTAGAAGGAAAACAATTCTTTATTCCAACTGCTGCAACCCATTTGCCTTTTCACTCCCTTAAAATTTTGCATGTAGTATTATAATATGACACTAGATCAATGGCCATTTTTTTAATGAGCATATATACACTGTTAGAAGTACTTTTGTTAACAAGCCCATCCAGCTGCCCTTAAAGACAAGGTAACATATACTCAAGCTGCCTGGCCTTAACCTTATTCTTACTCTGATGAGAGACTAACCATCTACCATCAGTATGGAAGTTTACATGATGCTTTGTGACACTGAGATGAACACCAAAGCTTGGTCTTATTAATTATATGACACACAAAGGATAGTCAGGCAGGGTTACAAGCCTATAATTTCATTATAAGGCATTTATGACATTAACCATCATTATAAGAACCTACAGATGAAATTACACACTTGATAATTACCCTTAAGGTATCTCTTAATATATTAGCTCTGTATAATATATATGGTAATTTTTAAAAAGTCATTGTTGAACACCGAAGAGATAATATTATCCCATAATACAGATGATAATTCAGAGAGTCACAGGTGATTAAAATAACCAGATTACTCAGTGTTATGGGCCAGATTTTATTCCCTTTCACAGCATAAGAAGCTCACACATACCTATCCCCATACATACCAGGAGGACAATGCGTATGGGTAAGCCACCCCTCATGGTCACTGGGCCAGAATGTAGCCCTTTCTTGACAGAAAGTGGATGTCTTTACAAAAAGCAGCAAGTGGAGCTCTGAACTGCTGTGGCTTTTAGGTGAAAAATTTCAGTGCAAACACCGCTAAAAGGTTTGAAAATATGTGGGAAAACATTTGGCATAAACACTATTTCATTTTTAATGTGGTAAGCTTTGCTGCAGTCAACACGAAGGTGGTTTGAAAGGGGACACAGAGACTCTTTGGCATAAAGCAAATAGAATTAATTTTTAAAAGCACTGCTAGTTGAAGCAAACATACCCTCCTGCCAATTGCAAATCAATACTTTTGGCTGTTGAACATCAGAACTGTAAGTCTTTGAAAGCATAATGTTTTTTGACACCAAATTAAAACCTGTAGAAAAAGGATAAATAAATCTCATAGGTCCAACAATTGTGAGTCACACAACAAACACACCATGAAACCAGAGGCACCAGGACTTAGCACAAGAATTACCATCTGAAGAAATCCAACCAGAAAACGACAACACAGTCAATAGCAACGACACCGTGTAATAGAGGAAAAACAATCACAAAAGTGGCCCTGTAAAATTCAGACAGATTGGGAATTCATATAAATCCTGTTTCACATCTCTAACACTGAACAGTAACCAGAAAGCACTTCAAGGCAGCGTCAACACTACTCATACCAAGTACTCTGGGAAGTAGGTGGACTACAGCAACCTCCCAGTTTCATGTCTATCCCTCTCACCCGGGAGTCTTGCAGCCAGTCTGATGAGATGTCCACAGGCAGGTGTCAACCAATGTGTCTGGACGTGCCTCAGTAAGCCACTGAGAGAGCACCATGCCCGTGCTGTGTTGGGCTGAACAGTGCATGCAGGCATGCAGGGCTCTGCGTGCTTTGTGGAGCAGCCTCTGGCCCACAATCACACGTCCAGCCTTGCTGCTCTTAGAGATAGTGAATCTAATCTTAAGGGTGACTTCAGGGTGCCCTTAAATATACCGCAGTCGTTCCTCACACATCTAAAATTATACTGGTCCTTTGCAGTTCCTAAAAGTGCTGGCCTTGAAGCCAGGATTGCAGTCATGTGCAAACAGACAGGCGCCCTTGTGCTTCCCCCAAACACTTCTCTCCTGAAGCTCACAATCTCTTTCTCCAGCTTCCAAGGGATTAAGCACCTCTCTTCAGTCTTGCAACTTTCACTGCAAAAGAGCTCCTCCCTGAACAAAAAGTCTCAAGGTGCTGCTTTCACTTCCTTTCTACTTAGTTTAGGAAATACCTCAAATTTTTAGAATGAACAGAAATAGTTCTAAAACTTCATAGATTTGACATAACTTCCAATATCCTTATTTGGTCAAAATTCTCAATACCTCAGAATAAGGGGGGAGAAAAGAAAGGCCCAAACCTGCAAACAGGTCTTTGTGGGCAGAATCTGATGAGGACACAAGAACCCAGAGAATTTGATGAGAGAATTCTGTTGGTATCAGAATACATTAGGCCCAAATAAAATTGTCATTTTTAATAGATTAATTTGCACCTATCAGCACTGAAATGCTATGAAGATATTGCAGATTTCTTTTGGCAGAAATGAAGAAATAGAATTTCTGTCTTGTTAAAATCAAAACAGATGACCTGTACCGAGGCTTTAGCCTCCCGTCTTTAGCTAATGATGGTAGGAATGGATGGTAAGGTGTCCAGAAACATCTTTCATTGAAAGAGTTAAACAATCAAACCATTAACCATGCCTCCTAGGTCTTATTTTACCTTTTCTACATATCTAATTTCCAAGCATTTTTTAAACATGTAGGCTAACACTTTAGGATGCTTCACTGTTTATTCTACTCACTCATTTCCATTTATTTCAATCTTGTGCTATTATTTAATATCGTCTTAGCAAGATTATATTTTATTCAACCTAACCTCATACTCTCTTATGAACTAGAAAGATGTCTAATCACCAACCTGAATACTGCTCCTAACCAATACCACACCTGGTTTTCTTTTCTGTCCAGAAAGTGGGTAGAAATAGCTGTCTGTGTATCATTGTACTTACAGTTTACTTCACCTCTGTCAAACAAGATTCTCAGGGCTTTTTCCCACCTGTGTTATCTGCAAAGCTAAAAACAACCTATGTAGGGTTGACAGCTACAAAATCCTCTGCAGGTCCATGACCTGCAGAAATGTAAATCCTCTTAGGAATACCCGGTGTAAACATGTTTGATTTTCCTGATATCCTATCAACACATTTTAAAGGTAAATGGTGGAAGTATAAGAGAAAACGTATACATATGTATATGTTTTCAATAAATGAGATTATACAAGCAGAATGAAAACTATCTAAAAATGAGAATCCTACAGTATTCACTGCAGCGATACTGTCTAAACATATACTATGCCAAGAATCATCATCTGAAGGCATTTTCGAACCTGGCAGGAAAAGTGCTCTATATGTATCTCTAATCTTTTTACATGAGGCAGAAGTACGGTAACAAAAAATACTCTCTGCATTATACAGCTGGTGCCACCACCACCCAACAAGCCCATGATCAAATACCAAGAGGATATTTTATGAGAGTTACAAGACAAAACTACAAGTGACCTTAGACCCTGACAATGGAAAGGGATTTGTTTGTAAAAATGACACTTTAAAGCCTGATCCAAAAGACACTATGCTGTGCCATTTGAGATGTGATCTGCGAGGCTGGGGAAATGAAGAGCCCTTCAGGACTTGTCCAACTTAGAGCTATGCAGATCCCCTATAATTATCGAAGCATAAAATGTCCACATAATAAGAAACCCCACACTTTAGTATATGCATTAGAATATCCACAATAGGGTGGGACTTTTATACTGAAACCACTGAGAGGAAAAAGTTCAACATTAAGGCATTAAGGATCAGTTGTCCCATTATCTCTGAGCCCAGATTCATCTCACACAAACACAAGAATCAGCCAGGACCTACCCATCACTGATACTTCCTCATCACAGTCATGGCAGAGGTTTCCTCACAGATAACGTCATTAGAAATGCAATTACTGCTAGGATCCCTTAACATAAAATCACTCTCTGAATCAGCACCTAATGCTATTAAGAAGTCAAACAGCCACTGCAAACAGCTATAACACAGATAAGTTGAGGAAGTCCCTTTGGAACTTCAGGATGAGCGAGGAATAGCCTTTTATCTTTCACAGCTGTGCCCCTTATCCTCACCCATTACCAGAGTCACGTACGAAGACAAACATGTGCTATATGGATCTTTACTTAGACATACATAGCAGTAAAACCGCCTGTAGCCTGGATCCCTTCTACCTGTGTGATTATGCAACTGTGAAAATGTAAATTCTCCTTTCAGAAGCAGACGCAAATGCCCTTGCCAGGACTTTGATAAGTGTTAAAGATCTTTTATCCTGGCCTACACAATTACTAACCTGACCTGCCCATGTGTTTATAGATTTCGCACAAGGCTTGCAACAGCACCAGGGAAACTAATAGCAATGTTGAGTGGTAGAAGAATAGGCTTGTAATAAGCCAAGACAGCTTTGTTCAAAGAAGGGAGGTGGACAGGAAAGATGTAAATGGCCACTAGGAGCTTAACTCCAGTAAGAATTTCCTACCTGTTACTTTTCAGCCTTGATAATTTTCTATGTAATAACTAGGGGGGATAAAAATCAGCAGTTTTACTAGCTGAGGTGAATTCTGCTCTCTACCCATCAGTTTACTCTCGGAGCTGGCTAGAAATAACAGAGAACAAAAATTATCTTGTTCAATAGACTATAAGTTAGTCATTAAGAG